TTTATTGTAAAATCGCTCGCAGAAGGTGATTTGATATGCCCATTTCTTGAGAACGTTTGTTTTGAATTTTCCTGATCATGTAACGTTATGCCTGATCTTGGTAGCGATCTAGAAGTAGTTCTTTGCGTGGAAATCGCGTTAAATTTTGCATGATACTCCAAAAAAAGATAAAAAAACGAACTGTCCATAGGAGTATAAATTAATATAAAACTATTTTATGCTGTTAATACAATATTTGTATTTTTTTTATTCTCTTATTTATAAATGTTTAGGTTGTTCGTAATAGTTATAAGAGATGCATATAATCTAGAGTTGGGTAACGAAACCCAAAACTATATATAAAATCCCGAAACCTTTTCCGAAACACCGAATTTAATTTAGACTTTGACATAAAGTACATGAATTCATTAGTGTCACATGATATCTTACTTCGTTAAGCTAATTAAGAATTGACTAACAGTTTTTAAACTGTTTTTTTTTTTTTTGTAATATAAAACTACTCTAATTTTATGTTATTATTATACAGTAATAATCGATGCATATTTATAAACCGGTTTTTCGAGAATACTAATACTGTAATACGCATCTTATACAAATTATCCCAGTTTAGTATTGGTCAAATTGGTCAATGGATATTTAAATATATAATATATACATGTATACTAAATTTATTTATTTATTTAATAGACTAGGCCATTTGACCAATTTGACCGGGCCAATTTTACCAATGAATTTTTGGTCGATCAGTGATTTGACCAACCCTGAAAATATCTACTTGTAATGGAGACGATGATTAAAAATAGAAAATAGGTGATATTTAATTGTCACATTTAATTATTGTCCGGAGTAGAGATGCGATCCGGATATCCGTTAATAATAAATCATATAAATTATTATCGTTATAAAAAATCTGGATAATTCAAATGTTAACGTTAATATAAAAATTACTCTATTTTAAGTTCAATTTCGGTTTTAGTAATATATAAAGTAACAAAGTAACGAGTAAATTATTCAAGTGATTCGAACTGACAAAAAAATTTTTTTAATCAATTAAAACACATTTAGAAAATTAATTAAAGAATGTAAAGAATAAATGCCTCAAAAAAACGCAAAGGCAAGTAGATTAAATAAAGTCCTTCGTTCGCAAACCTCAACCCCGGGACAGATATGAGATGCGTTTACGGATTATATGAAGAGTACAAACAAATTTCACAAATGTAGACGCGATCGAGGTGATTTATCAGAAAAAGAATTTAACAAAACCATTAATACCCTCAACAATTTGGAAATTAAAGTAAAAGGATTGATTAGTCAATATTTAAGACTTGAAAAAAGAAACAAATTTTTAGAAACTGAACATGGACTTTTAAAAACTGAAAATGAAAGGCTATTTAGCGAAAATGAAAATTTACAAATTAAAAAGAAACAATATAAAGCAGCTGTTAAACATTCAGTTGAAGTAGCCACTAGAAGTGAAAACGCATATAAGAATGAAATTCATAATTATAAAGAAGCGATTCAAGATATCTATGATCAAATTGATAACTTAGGTAATTTGTTTATTAAATTATTTAACCTTTTTTTTTTCAAATTAATATGGTTTTTTCTTAAAGATGTTAATAAATTAAACAGTATATTATGCACAAATGAAATTCCTGGCCTTCAAAATTTTGCAGCAACTAATGAATTGCCTGCTGTAATTTGTTATTCAAATTTCGAAGAAGCAACTGATCATTCTGAACCAAGAATACATGAAATTAATAATACTGAAAATATTATTAATTCAGAACCTTCGTTTCATCGCTCATATTCATTTTACGATCGATCTACTTCTGATAATTATTATCAAGAATTGACTTCTTAAAGTAATATTGTCAAAGAATCTCTGAATAACAATTAGGGTAGCTGTGCGACGCAGTGGTATCGCGCTAAAACCAGGAACGAGTATAGATTGGTTTTGAAAATTATATTTTTATTTTAATTATTGCTATTGATGTTGACTTGAGATCAAAATTAAGCAGATGAACTCTTAATCAGAAGGGTATTTTTTCTTATGATTATTATTTACACAGTTGCATGCAGGACCTAGTTTCAATAGATTGATTTAGAGAAGATTTCTGGATATTGTAATAATCACTATTATATATTTTGATCA